TTTTTGTATTAAAAAGGGTGTAGTAAGAAGCAGAGAAGAATAGATGAAGAGAAATACAACTAATTCTGGGCATTAACAGAAATGTAGGCATTGTAGACAAAGTCAATTTATAGTATATGTTATGCTAAAACAAATATGTTCTGTTGAATTTTATAGTTTTATCTACATTAACTTTTTCCCCCCAGTGTTTTTAAAGTTTTTATTGTGAACTGAGTGATAGTTTACATGGGAGAACATTGACTTTACACCATTGTTTCATTACAGTGATTATAATCTCCATGCATCATCATTCAACAGTATTTTCTTCCATTCCCTGTTCTTTTTTTTCTGTGGGTGGGTGGGGGGATGTACACAGAAACACTCAGGAATACCTAATCATTAAAACAACCAAAGGGCACATTCTGCAAGCCTACCTCCTGGCCGCCAGCACCCAGTCCCTCTTTTTCCATCAGTCCAGAGTCCAGTCCCTCTCTTCATGTCATCATCTCTGCCTGCATTTCTGTGAAAATATGTTTTGAAAAGAAAAAATTCCTCCATGCTCCATTTCTTTATAAATTTTGAATAAAATAATGGCCAGTATTCGGTCTAAATGTTTCTGGTAAGAGCATGGAGTCAAGTATTGGGGTTCATGTTCTTGTCTACTCTTGTCAGAGCTCCTTAGCTGGTAGTGTTTCTGGTTAACCTGATTACTTCAGCTCTTGTCAGAGCTCCTTAGCTGGTAGTGTTTCTGGTTAACCTGATTACTTCAGCATTAGTATGGACCACAGCAGCACAGTGGCCTTAAGAACTGTGGGCACCATCTTTCAAGTTGTCCCTCTCTTCCTTGTGTGATTTATCTTAATTTATTTTGCATAAAACCTTTTCTAGTATGTGGATAAATAGTCATCATTCTACTTGTAGATATCCCACTAGGAGATACCTTTGGGTGCAAAGCATGCCATGTGAACTAAAGCTGTCTAGCAACATAATATAAAACATGACCTGTGAGAATTAAGGGCTCTCATGTAGAAATAATTTTTCTGTGAATGTACTTGTGCAGATGCATGTTGATTAATCATATACTTAGCTATATGTGTTTATGATGCCATTTCTCTTTTTATATCTGGATATTTTTCTCCATCAGTGATCTGAAGATAAAGGTTGGGGGCAGGCACGTTAGTGCTCACAAGTTTGTTCTGGCAGCCCGCAGTGACAGCTGGAGTCTGGCCAACTTGTCTTCCACCCAAGAGCTGGACCTGTCAGGTGAGCGTCCGCTTGGTCAGGGACTCCAAAGTGCCAGTGCAAGAACTCTTGGCAGAAGGTTATGGTGACTCATTTTGGAATACTTGTAGTGTACTCTCAATTGCTAGTGCCCATGAAATTGTCATATGATTAACGAGTCAACAAGTTGTGTTTCCCTGGATGTTTTGGTTTAGTGTCTGGCTAATTTACAAATCAGTGAATACTTGAGTATCTGCAGTGCCCTTGGTGGTGGTGTAGGATAAACAGTGGGCTGCTAACCACAAGGTTGGCAGTTCAAACCCACCCGCCATACCACAGGAGAAAGATGAGGCTTTCTGTTCCTGTAAAGATGGACAGCTTCAGAAGCCCTGTACAGGTTGCTGTGAGTTGGAATCGACTCAGTGACAGTGGGCTTAGTGGGCAGTGTTCTTACAATTTCTAATGTGTAAATATTCGGAAGCTTTGAAAAGTTTGTGGGAAAATGGAATGAAAAGATAATGGATTTTTTCCCATAAACTTTTTGAAGTCCTTTCTTAGAAGTAGTTTTCTGGGTCTATAAGAATTGAATTCAAAACTAACATAAAGAGTGACCATCACTTGTCTTCAGAATTTGAGTAAGTGCATTCAGCTAGTGCTTCCTGTTACTTAATGGTCTTATGCCACACTGTTGGTGGTGGTGGTTCCAGTAGTAACCCTGTCTAGGGTTTCCAGGGAGCAGTTGGTGAGTTTGAGTCACCAACCTTGCAGTTTAAACGACCTTGCAGTCCAGTGCTTATCCTACAGCACCACACCAAGACTTCTCTATGCCACATTATATTGTGTATAATTTGGATAAATATGGGAGTGAATGGACTTAGAAATATAATTTTCAAAACCCGACTTTAAATCACATTCTCAGTTAGTCTTTATCAAGCTGCTGTTAGAAGTAAAAAAAACAAAAAAAAACTTAATTATTATTCTGCTATTAATAGTATTGAGAGTTGTAACAGACAAGAAAGCTTCAAAAAGTTTATGGAAAAATTGAATTAAAAGATGATGGAATTTTTTCCAAGAACCTTCTGAAGCCCCTTCATACGATCAGCATTAAGATCTGAGGTATTTTCGGAAATGACTATGTGAACTTGCTGCTGGATTGTGTCTTTGTTGAAAAGGCTTGCCAGTTGAGAGGGTCCTGTTTTCCATGCTCAGTGCTGGAAACACTGAGTGGATGTGACCAGTCCCTGCCCTAATGGAGCTGAGACTCTGTTGGAGCAAACTGGCTGTTAAACCATTTCAGGCCAGGGCCGTGTATACAGTAACATCCTTGTTGTATGTTTGAGGTATGAAAGAAACTAACTTTGGTATCATTGATGACTGACACCTGAGAAGTCTTACAAAACAAGGTTGTTAAGTGCTGTGGAGTTGGTTCCGGCTCTTAGTGATCCTGTGTAGTTTCCGAGGATGGCTGGTGGGTTTGAACTACCAACCTTATGGCTAGCAGTACAGTACTCCTTGTACAGTGCCACACCAGGTTTCCATTAACATCATTCTGTTCTTGTTGAGGGCTGTCAAGTCAGTTCTGACTCATACCAACTCTGTATTGGCTTTCTGAGTGGCTGGTGGGTTTGAGCTGCTGACTTTGTCATTAGCAGGCCAGTGTGTATCCTAAAGCACCACACCAGGACTCCATTTACATCATTTTGTTGTTGTTGTTGTTAAGTGCCATCACGTTGATTTCAATTCATAGCGACCATTGGTTTCTGAGGAGTGGTTGGTGGTTTTGAACTGCTGACCTTGTGGTTAAAACTGACCTTGTGATCCAGCGCCACACCAGGAAATATTTAATTTAATGAAAATGAGTAAGAGTGGGGAAAATGAAAATGTGATGGCTGCCAAGAACAAACAAAATTATATAATAAAAACAAAGAAAATTGCAACTAGGTATAAAAAGTTAACTTTAAACATTTAATTAAAAAATTTTGCTAGATACTATACATTTTATTTTATTTTTTATTTTATTGAGTATTTTAATTCAGTGATTGGGCATAAGGTTGCTTCACTGTGATTTAGGAGGTTGTCTAGAGTTTGTTGTTGTGTGCTGTCGAGTCGGTTCTGACCCAAATCAACTCTGTATAGGGTTTCCAAGGAGCTGCTGGTGAGCTTGAACTGCCAACCTTGCAGTTCAGATGGCTTTGCAGTGTAGCACATTAACCCACAGTGCCACAGGAAAGTATAATATCAATACCTTCAAATGTTCCTGGACCCCTTTTGTGTTGAAAATAAAAGCATGGTGTGATCCCTGCTGTAAGGTTTGCTTTCAGGAATGATTCACTTCAAACCCACAGCCATCGAGTCAATTCTGACTCAGCAACCCTCTAGCCCATAGGGTTTCTGAGACTGGAACTGTACAGGAGCAGACAGCTTCCTCTTTCTCTTGCAGAGTGGTTGGTGGTCAGTGTAAACTGTGTGTGTGTGTGTGTGTGTGTGTGTGTGTGTGTGTGTATGTATGGTTTTGTTAGGTCAGGCACTACCTACAAGACCGTGATAGTAGCCATCTTTACTTTCCTCTCTGAAGTTTACCTTTGAAGTGGGTCAAGGTGGCAGTGCCATAGGCAGTGTGGATCTGGTCATGTTTCCCTGGGTATTTTGACCAGCAGTCTTGTTGCATTGCCCAGGCATGGGTGTGATTGCCTAAATCCGGGGCTGTAGCAGCTGGAACGGCCTGGGAAGACTGTGTGACATGATACTTGGAAGAATTAACTCTGCATGGCTTGCCAGCATTTTTGGGACACTGGAAATAGGCTTTTATTAACTAATGTATAAATAGCATGAAAGCTATGTTTTAAGTGGTTTAACTTTTCCCGGATTATCAGACTTGATTACATTCATTCAATGAACTTTTGTGTTTTGTTTCTCCAGAATGATTCTACTTACATAACAAATGTTGAGTGGCAGGCACTTCTTGAGATACTGAAGATAAAGCTGTGAACATAGGTAGATTGCTGTTCACATGGACAGGAGCGCCACGCAGTACTTGACATCGATTGAATTCCGTGTGAGCTGCTAACTCAAGGTTGTTCAGTGCCAGTGTTAGATTGTGCTGTATGCCTTTTGATGAAATCCATGGTGGTTTTAAATGTGCCCACGTATTTGATGTGCTCTCTGAAGTATAGACTTTTAAAGCTCCACCTTTTTCCTTTTAATTATTTCAAGAGTTTTAGCAAATGGTGACAGAGATAGACAGGCATTATATATCAAGTATTTTAAAGTAGTTGGCTACATGGAACTTTGGTTAACGCTGATAGTGTTAAAAAAAAAAGTGAAATGTTAGGCTCCTGATAAGACGCACTAACAAAACACCGATACTTCTGTGGGGTCCTTGGCCTCATTAGATAACATAAATTGCATCATGAGGAACATCAGACAAACCCAAATTGGTGAACATTCTACAAAATACAGCTAATCATTGTGGTTCAAACACATCAGGGTCATGAAAGACGAGGGAGACTGAAGAACTATTAAGAGATTGATAGAGATTAAGGAGACACCATACCCAAAGGCAATGTGGACTCCCCCATTGGATTCTTACCCAGAAAACCATTAGTGGGAAAATTGGCAAAATTAAAATAAAGTCTGTAGCCATTTAGTAGTATTGTATTGATCCAAATTGTCTGGCATTGGTCACCCATTGTACTATGGTTATCTAAGATGTCAGTGTTAAGGAAAATGGAATCAAAAGTATAAGGAACTCTGCCTCTAATGCATTATAAAGATGCAAGTTTGTAAACGTGCTGATTTATGAGCTGAGAAGACAAAGAATATGACTGTTAGTTTAACACATTGAAACAAACGTTGAGACCAGGAGAACACTGTCTTTTCTTCTTTGTAAAGTAAAGCCATTTGCTTCAGGCAAAACGATTTGTTTATAATCTCTCTGTAACACATTACTAGTTGCAGCTAACACTGTGAGAGCTTCAGATGCTTTAGAAGGGCTGTTTGGAAGTAAGAGGGGTTTTGCATGCCTTATCCAGTCAAAGATCTTCTGGCTCCCTGACAGAGCTTATGGTGTGAATCAGTCAGCTTTCCTGGAACGAGTTCTGTGTCCTGTGAAGAAGCTCTTCCACAGATCAGAAGGCATCCTTCCTTCCTCCTTTTTGTCTGAAGCATCCCCTGGGGAGGTTGCGCTGTGCAGTGGAGAGAGCATAGGCTTCCCAGACTGTGCTGAGGCACCCCAAGGTGTTAACAGCTTAGTCACAGGGGATCCCTGGATGATTTACATTTTCAGGAGTCCCATGTAATACTTGATATCTGTTGAATTCTGTGTGAACTGCTAACTCAGGGTTGTTCAGTACCAGTGTTAGATTGTGCTGTATTCCTTTTGATGAAATCCATGTGGTTTTAAATATGCCCCCGTATTTGTTGTGCTCTCTGAAGTATAGGCTAATACATCTCCTCTAAGTGTATGCTATACCTCCTGAATGACTCACTGCTCACAAATAGAATGAGGCAGAAGTGACGCCATGGTACTTCATCAAAGACATTGAGGCTTCCTTCTTGTTCTCATTTGGACGGCTGAGTTGGTGGGAAATCGGCTGCCATGTTCTGAGAACACCCCAGCATACACCCTGATGGCCTCCGTCCAGTGAAGCCTTCCAGTGGCTGCTGCCTTGACCACTGCCTGACTGCAGGCTCAGAAGGGACATTAAGTCAGAACCACCCAGCCAAGTGGCTCCCAGATTCCTAAACCTCAGAAACTCCGAGATACGACAAATGTTTCATATTTGGAGTTGCAAAGTTTTGGGGTATAATATGCTAAACTGCAGTAGATGACTAATACAATGGCCTATCTGCGAAGTTGGGCTTTTGGCAGTCAATGTGATAAGCAAATAGCATGCAAAGATCAATGTGAAACAGGATATGAGGGTACCAGAGTTGGGCCTGATTTCAAGATTGGAGGAGCTGTGCTGTGCCTAAGGTACACACATTCCATTAATAACTACTTGTGGTTATTTAAGAGTGAAATAATATTTTAAATTAATATT